GGCACCACTGGAAAGAGTCTGGCCCCGTCCTCCTGACCCCCACCCTGCAGATATTTAGAAGCATTTCTAAGGTCCCCTCTCAGCCTTCTCTTCTTCAGGCTGAACAAGCCCAGCTCCCTCAGCCTCTCCTCGTAGGAGAGATGCTCCAGTCCCCTCACCATCCTCGTAGCCCTCCTCTGGGCTCTCTCCAGTAGCTCCTCATCTTTCTTCTGTGAATTAAAGGCAACGCATATGCCAGTGAAAATACGGCACAGAACTAGGCCACACTATTTCTTCTGCTACTTAGGACTTCATTTGGTGCCACACTGCTATAAGGCACGATGCCTGCACACTGAAGTGGCAAGAGACTGCCTTGCCCATCTCGTCTGCTGGGTTACACACCAGAAAAGCAGATCTTTCACTTTAAGTTTTGACACAATTCAATTAGCTTTGTAATATATGTCTGGTTTTTTTTTCTCCCTATGAACCAGAGCAACATTACACGCCGCTTCTTCAGGAAGGCTTCCTGCACACAATAAAGCAGCTCTTAAAATAAAGGAATGCCCCCTTTTTTCGCTGTCTGCTGCAGAACAAGGACTCTTGTCCATGATAGTGTTTCACTATCTGTGAAAACTCATCATTATCCAAATTTCCATTTAAATTTGACAAAATCTGCTGATTCAAGCTAAACGCAAACTCACGCCGTAAGCCTCCTTTGCTTGCACGACAGATGAGGTTTACTAGTCCAGCGTCTGATCTTAACCATTTAAAAGTAAACACCCCGAAGCAAATGCTCAACCCTTAAAAAGCAAATTAACCCTTCTTGGAATCATTCAATATTTAAGGATCAAAGAGACTCAGAAGTGAACTGGGAGCTGGTGCAGTTGCCTTCAGGCCATCAGAGAAGCTCAAGGCAGCACCACTGTCCACAGACGGTCTGGGTTAGTGCAACGCCTTCCCAACATGGAAGGAGGCGGAAGGCACTCGGCGAGTTTCAGTTATGGAGGACACCTAAGTCCCAGGGCAGGAACCAAACAGGGAGACGGGAAGGAAACAGAGGGTCCCAAAGCAAGGGAGCCAGCTTTGCTGCAAGCAGAGTGGGAGATGTGAGTCTTCAGGAGAGGTTTAAATAGGGCAGAAGCAGAGAGGTATGAAGGTTAATGAGAAGTCGCATGTGGAGAGGTCAGAAGCAGCACAGTGGTGAACACAGGCACAAGCAGATGAACGTGAGCAAAAAAATACAGGAAGCGGAAACAGAGGGTCCCAAAGCAAGGGAGCCAGCTTTGCTGCAAGCAGAGTGGGAGATGTGAGTCTTCAGGAGAGGTTTAAATAGGGCAGAAGCAGAGAGGTATGAAGGTTAATGAGAAGTCGCATGTGGAGAGGTCAGAAGCAGCACAGTGGTGAACACAGGCACAAGCAGATGAACGTGAGCAAAAAAATACAGGAAGCAGCTCCTGGCATCTCAACAGTGGAATAAAATAAGTATTTTGGTTGAATCTAATGTCAGAAGTAAAATGGAGATCAAACTGGCCCAACAGCGGTTACACCAAGAGTAGCAGACCCCTTCAGGAGTCACCCCTGAAAGCCATGGCACTGAGCCGGGCAAAGTCACCCCTTTTCAGGAAGCATCAGCTGCCGACCTGTCCATGTAACCTGTTGCTTTCTCTCAGCCTTCTCCTCTCCAGGCTGAACAAGCCCAGCTCCCTCAGCCTCTCCTCGCAGGAGAGATGTTCCAGTCCGCTCACCATCCTCGTAGCCCTTCGCTGGACTCTCTCCAGTAGCTCCTCATCTTTCTTGAACTGGGGAGCCCAGACTCCAGATGGGGCCTCACCAGGGCAGAGCAGAGGGGAAGGAGAACCTCCCTCGACCTGCTGGCCACACTCCTCCTAATGCACCCCAGGATCCCATTGGCCTTCTTGGCAGACAGGGCCAACTGCTGGCTCATGGTACAACTGGTGTT